GGCCTGCACATTGCCACGGTGGGCACTACGCAGCTGTCCCTGCTTCAGGGAGCCAGCAACGCCACAGTCAGCGTCGCCTTTAACAACCACCCTGCGGACCCGCGGCAGCAGGAGTTCTTCTTGGGCGCGTCATCGCCACACAACTTCACCATCGAGGTGGCCGGCTTTCCCAACTGCACAAGCATCGCCCCGCTGGAGGCGTCTCTGCGCCACTTTTCGCAAAACATCACGATTGATGTGACGGACGCGACCAGCGCGGGCCCGTTTGTCGGCAGCTTCCCTCGGGTTGTGCAGGCGGTCGTGTTCCGCATCTTTTCCATGACGACAGAGGCGACGATCGTGAACCCCGTTTCGGGCGCGGACATTTGGCTGCAGGCCATTGATGCGGTCGCCAGCTACCGAGGTCGCCTTCCCCTGGGAACACTCCAGTACGACTTTGCTGCAGCCGAACGCGCCCAGGGTGGGCTGCTGCTGCCGTACAACCGCGCAGTCACGACGCCGCGCCTCCCAGTCGTGGCAAACGAGACGTCCATCGGCTGGGACGTTGTGCGCCGGGCCATTGGCGGCACCCTCGACGTGGACGTCCTCACCACTGCGCAAGTGCGCATTGGCCATGCCCAGCTCAACGTCACGGCCATGGGCAAGAGCGCGCCAGTAAAAGTTCGCTTGCTGTAAAGTCAGCAAAAGCAAATAAAAGCATGACCTCTGCCGGGTTCGAACCGGCGACCGGCTGCGTGTAAAGCAGACGTGCTAGCCACTACACCAAGAGGCCGCGTGGCTGCGCCAAAGCGACAGGTTTTGTGACCTATGAGTGTACTTATTTCTGGTTTCGTTAGTCTCTTTGCGGCAAAGACATGACAGCGCACGCCCTTTTATGGCTGCGCAGCTACACACCAGCTCAAAAAGGAAGCAGCCTAGTCGCCAAAGGTCGCGTTGGTTTTCATGGCCCGTGCCAGGGACCACCGCACCGACCCACGTGGCGACGGTGTACATACGAGTACAGCGGGTCCTGATCTATCTCCTTGTGACACGCGCCCACAAGTTGGGCACGTCGCATCGGCGGTGCTATTTCATCTGTCGCGTCGTGGGGCCCGCTGCTCGAGTTCCGCCTGGTATTCACTTGTGGCGGCAGGCATGGGGCAAGCAGAGAGGGTGCGCTACGAGTCCCTGAAGAAGGCAGCGCTGGAGCAGCTGCCCAGCGCGCAAATGTACGAGCGGTCGTACATGCACAGAGACGTGGTGGATGGCGTTGTGGTGACCCAGACGGGCTTTGTCATCACAATCTCCCGCGACGGGCACGTAAAGTTCTGGAAGAAGCGGGACGCCGAGATCGAGTTTGTCAAGGACTTTCGTGCGCACCTCGGGGCAATCACGGCACACGCGTCGTCGCAGGACGGGCAGATGTTTGCAACGGCGTCCACCGACCGAAAGATAAAGGTCTTTGATGTCGTCAACTTTGACATGGTTGGGATCGTTGCGACCGAGTGTGTCCCAGCCGCGCTGTGCTGGGTGGTTGATCCGCTCGATCAGACGATGTGCATCGCAGTGGCCGACACGGACACGCCAACAATTTACACGTACGATCCGTACGCGGGCGGCGGGCCCAAGCGCACAATCACAAACGCCCATCGCCAGCCCGTGGTGCTCTTGGCATACAACCCGGTCCTGGCATGCGTCGTGTCTGTCGACAAGGGAGGCATGGTGGAGTACTGGCCGCTCGATAAGCCTGGCGAGCTGCCGCCGGGCGCGGCATTCAAATTAAAGTCCCAGACCGACCTGTACGAGTTCAAAAAGAACAAGTGCGTTCCAAGCAGCCTCGTGTTCTCGTCCGATTTT